CCTCACTTGGACCCCATAAAGAGGAGGACACCTAACACTGCCTTGATGCGAGTCCCACAGCCCTATCATCTGATCACCCAGTGTGTACATCAAAGGATAAACAGGCAGAGGGCTCCCAACTGTCCCAGGGTCTTCAAACAGGCTCTGCGGATATCTTAAACGGCCATCACTCATCACCCTTTGTCTGTCTGTTTGGACCTGTCACCCAACTGTGCACCCATTCTTTCATCTGGATCTGGTCCTGCCTTCACCTCTCTAGCTACCACAGTCCCACACCTCACTCCTGCAGCTCAACTCTGACCTGACAGTCTGTCTCCATGGCAGCGGCAGTAAGAGCAGCAGCATTTCCATCAGATTTCCATCCCGGCTCCCCGTATTCTTTTTGCAGAGACTTTCATGCCTCTCAGTGAGTTTCCCAGCTTCTGACTCGGGATTCTTTGAAACTCCTTAAACTCTGCTGCAACCTCTTTAACCCTTTTGGCTATTCTGCAACTGACACAGAGCTGTTCTATTTACAGTGTGATACGTGAAGTGTGGTCTGAGAGCTTGTATTTACGTTGGCTAGTGTCTTAAGAGTTTCCATTGCTCTGATGAAATGCCATGACCGGAAGCAACTTGTGGAGGAAAGGGCTTATTCCACAAAACAGACAAGTCCATCATCAAAAGAAGTCAGGGAAGGAACTTGAGGCAGGAACCGAAGCAGACAGAGAAGTAGTGCTGCTTACTGGCTTACTCTGCGTGGCTTGCTCAGCCTGCTTTCTTTTAGCATCCAGGACCACTATCTCAAGGGTGACACCACTCCCAATGGGCCAGGCTCTTCTACGTCAATCTCTAATTAAGAAAATGCATTACAGATTTGTCTACATGCTAATCCTATGGAGACATTTTCCTCAGTTGAGAATTCCTCTTTACAAATGACTGTAGCTTGTGCCAAGTGGATACAAAACTTTCCAGCCCAATTGGCTTTCAGGAAAATGGGCCTACTTGCTATACCCTGTGTATTATTTTTTTGTTCAATAAATCCTGACATTGTTGAAGGACTCAAACATGTCTATGTTTCCAACATAGTGTGTTCATGTGATGGTCTTTTATTTCAGGTATTCTCTCCACAGACATGTGTACTTACTTGGTGTAATGAAAGAGTCCTAATACTTTACTGGATAAATGAAACTGAGGCAGGCCCTGGGTCATTGAATTGCCTCAGTGACTTAAAGCCTTTTGACCAGAGTGCTACCTCAAAACTCACAGTATAAAGAGATAACTCACTCCTACAAAGTTGTTCTTTGACAGCCTCCCACATCTCTTCTTGTAGCATATCTCCCCCCCCCAACTAAAATATAAAATGTAAATTAAATTTTAGGCCCCTTTTTCTAAGAGCTCCATGGCAGTGGCTAAGAGATGTTTTCTTAACGATTCTTACTGATTATGACCCGGCTTCCTTTCCAATCAAGACTACGCCTCTACTCCCAGTCACCCCTCACATTTACAGCATGTGTGAGAGAGACTTGAGCCTTCTTAGCTTCAGGACAGTGTGCCCCTGGGTCATACATAATTAAGGGGATGAGAACATTGAAAAACAAGAGAAGCAGAAAGAAATCATTAGAAACGACTGTTGAACAAGAAAACGAGACAGTACCCACGGCGAGTCACACTTGGTGGAGCTTTGGCGTTATGTGTCTCAACCGATCTGCTGCAGCACTGGACTTCAGTGAAACATAGTCGGATGGTAAAGGCAGACACCACGACTGTCTGCTGCTGGGCTTGTGGGGTGACTCACAGCACAGACAGCTCTGTCCCAATCATCCTGACTAGTCAGAGAACATCTGCTAGAGTCATCTTCTCAGAATACCATGCACGATTTGGCTCTCCTTTTGGCCCTGGCCTACTTTTGTTATTTTAACTTGGCTGAGTTGATTTTATGTCTGACATCATTTTCCAATGTACATGGATTTCACAACTCCAATCTACCTAGGGATGATTGATACCATATATAAGATGACTAAAGCATGTAATTAAGATTTAAACAATGATATTTAATCTGAAAGTGTCAGATGGGAACCAAGATTTTTTATAGAAAACTATATGCTTATTTATCTCTAATGACATACAAGTGAGAGTCAATTAAAAAAAAATCACAATACAAATCAATCAGTTCTCCCTGTCATAAGTAACTAGCTTTGATTGCTAAGGATTTGATAATTTCATTTTCTCTTACTGGCTGAAAAGACATTCAACCTTACAAATATATATATATCACCTGGGACATCATCTTTGCTTAGATTACAGCTTGAAACACTGGAAAACGGCTGGGGCCCTGGAGCATGCTCCAAACCTCTCATACTTGAAGGGCAGTGTCTGCTTTGTGGTAACTTAACCATCCTTAAGTGGGGGAGGCTGCACTCTGATGTGCTCAGAAAACACCCGGTTTAGATGGAGTCACAAAGGAATGCTCTGCTGATTTCTCTTTCTCCACCATGTGGCTTTCACTCCCTTCTGAGGTTTAGATCTTAAACTTGTATCCCGACCACTCAAACACCACTCTCCTTTCCCTAAACTTCTCTTTTGCTGATCCGTTTGTTTGTCTGACTTTATCAGTTTCCTCCGCCTCCAGAAGGCCCTTTCTCTCTCTCTCTCTCTCTCTCTCTCTCTCTCTCTCTCATGTCTTGGCTCTCTGGTTATTTTCTTTCCAGTTTGTTTCGTATAATGGTCCTCTCTCTGTTATGTTTCACCCCAGTTATGAAGTATGCTCCCAGAGCATTACTTCTCATTCACTCGACAAATATTCACTGAGTAAATATTCCTTGACATTTTTTCTCCTACACCCACATACAGACCATCAAATTTGTTGGCTGTACAATAAAACTTATTGAGAAATTGACTTTGATTCATTAGTACCAATGTGGTTAAAGCCACCATGGTCTCTTTGCTGGGCTTCAGTCTTTAAATCGGTCTCTAGTATTGCTTTTCGCCATCCCCTGCCCCGTGGTTCTTCATCCAACATCTGGAATCTCTTTCTTTCTTAACCCACCTCAAAGCAAACTTCTGTTCTGCTTAAAACGTCCACAGGACTTTTCTCTTCACCCAGGAGGAAGCCACGGAGGCTCCCTATATGCTTGCTGTTTGCCTCCTTCTTGTTATCAGTTCTTAGGTTTTATCTTACTTTTTTTTTTTTTTTTTTTTGTTTTTTTTTTTTTTTTTTTTTTTTTTTTTTTTTTATCTTACTATTCTTACACAGTATGGAAACCCAGCTTGGCCTCTCTTTGTCCCCTCACTTCAGGATCTCTGAGCTTCTGTTTATGGTGCCAGGATCACCTTGCTCACACTATACAACTCAAGTATGTTCTCTGTAATGCTGTCCCAGAACTGTTTATTTAAATTTACAGCAAATTTCTTCTTTCATGTTTTTGCTGTTCCTGATTTCTCTATATCAAGTGTTACATTTATACACTTAGTATCTTTTCTTCACTTGAGAGTAAAATTCCAAAATGTTTTCACTGACTTTAGATAAAAAGTCTAGTGAACAAACTACAAAGGAAATAGGCTTGGCCAAGCACTTAGCATGAGCATGAACTCTGAATATTCTGCCCTATCCAAGTTGTAGTCGGACAAGATACAGGAGTCTCTAAGAAGGTGGTTCTTGAGCTGGTTAGGTCAATGAAGGAGTGGGCTGTTTTTCCATTATCTTTACACAGAAAGGTAACATGAACCAAGGAATGTAGGCCTACTCCTGCTTTTTCCTCTGATCTCACCATTTCTTAGCATGTCAATCTAGTTTCTTACAGTCCAGAGTTACATAATCATTGGTAGGTTGCTGTATCTCTGAGCACAGCTGGCTGGGAATATGTGGAAAGCAAGGCATGTTTCATGGCCCTTCAGTCAATGACTGACGGAGGTGAGAATAAAGATAGCCCAGGTATCTTGCACCCTGGCTAGGTTATCTATGAGGGTAAATTAGTGCCTGTGGACAAAGGGCCACACCCACTGGGTTAGACTATAGAATGAATCAACTCCTATTGTCTTTTCTGGAATTTCTTTAACCTCACCTACTCAGTTTCTTCTGACCACCACACAAAACACTCTTCCTGATAACCTTGGGTCAAGGTCAGCCTATGGAGGAACCCAAATGATGTCAATAATTGCAATACAAACATTGCAGGGTAAAAATAAAAATAAAACTTCCTGCTTTGGTAGACCAAGCAAGCCAAGTCAATCAAGTGTAGGATATAGAATGAGGTGGTTTAATATTTTAGTAGAATAATCTGAATCATAGACTAATGGGTTAGGACTGTTTTCAGATCTTCCGTGAAATCTTTGCGTTTAGGGATGAAAAAATCACGAGTAAGATGGATCTAGCCATAATATAGAGTGCCACAGTTTGAGACAGGAAGCAGCCACAGGAAAGTTGGCCAATGAGAATACAGTTTCAGCTGTGGCATTAGGCGTGTGTTACTTAAGCAGGAAAGAAAGAATGGAAGGAGACAGAGAAAATGACAAGGAAAAAGGTAACAGTTCTCTGGGTTGGTGGTATTGAGAGCATATTTTTTTTTTTTTTAATCTGAAGCCATGTGAGGTAGAACATCATTAGCAAAGACAAAGAAACTGGATGTGAGATCTGTATTTAATGAGCTAAAGATTCTAAATGTTTGTCATGGGAACAGTGAGGTAGACATCTCCAGCAGAAGGCAGGGCTGGCAGCCTGAGATGGCAGGAAGGTTTTGGTTTCATAATGGGACACTTTCAGGCTGTGATTGAAGCGTCTGGCTATTTTGAAAATCCCAGAGACACTTGCTTTATAGAAGCTTTTAAGTTCTGACGTTGAGACTCAACAGAGGAGGAGAACGTCATAGTAACCAATAATTATTGGTGGACTCTATAGTTAAGCATACATGGAAATTCCAGTACTAGCCAGGCAAATTGAGGACTTCAGAGGTTTGGGAAGCAGGAAGTCAAGTTCAAGGAACTTGGCAGTGATAAGGATGGAATTCTGGAAACATACTTACCTCAAAGACTAGCCATTCTTCTGAGGGCTGGTTCTGCTTGGCTCTGCCGGGATTCATGACGCTGCACCTGCCACCCACACTGTAAAGGGCTCCATCCCTCAGCTGCTCCTTCTTCAGACGATCTAAGCCTCACTTTATTCTTCCTTATTCTTCTCCAGTCACACTTTCCATCTCTTGATTATGTCTACTCATCTCTGAACTTTCTCCCATTTTCCTTTATTAAAAAAGGGGGCGTGGGGAGGGAGACAGTTTAAAACCTTCAACACACTGTAATAACTGGCTTAGTTTTAATCTCAGGATTTTCTTTTTCTCTAAATGTCATACTCAAAATATTTACAAACTTTCCTACCTGTTTTTAATATGCTAGCTACTGTTCCTCTTGATTTGATGCTAATTTTACAACTGAGTAATTTTTTACTTCAAAACTTTTGCGTTAGAATGAGTATTTCCTTCCTCTTACTTCAGGGAGATTTAAGTAGGAGATTCTTGAATGTGGTCCATCTGATTCTTTCTTCTTTAAGTAAGAAATACCATGGAATGTGTGAGAGAAAGTTGTCAAAACTTTTGCCCCTGCACAATTCAGTTTAAATCCTGGGCTAAAGAATAAGAACACACGGAAAATGATTTTGCATAGACATACTTATCAAAACCCTAAGTAGTGGAGGCGGCTCCCAGGAGCCCAGGAATGGCTCCCCCACATCCTCAGAAGTAATTTTCCATGTGCCGGACAGGAAGATCATGTTAAGGCAGAGTCAGTCTCAGGTTGCTGGACTTGGAATCAGCCGGATTTACAAGCTTCATTACTGGAAAGAGTCTACGGCTCTCCTGGCATCAGCAGCCGGAGAAATGTTCAATAGCACAATGAAAAGTTTCTGTTTACAGAATAAAACCAAAAGCATGGTCTTCTCTGCCATGGGGGTGGCTAAGCTCAGAAGCAACAGTGTCCCGGGGATGGATCCCCATCACTGTGGCTGGGAGTGTGACCAGAGCCTACTCAGCCAAGCAGGCTGAAGCCCCGGCGGTCACCACTCACCTCCGGGAGGGCCCGGTTCAGTAGAGGAGGGCTGGGCAGGGCGCGCCGTGGAAGCTTCTGGAACGCGGGGAGAGGGAAGAGGGGCGCACTGCCCGCAAAGGCGCTCCGGGGAGCCCGGGCGTGAGGCGGTGCACGTAGGCGTAGGCGACTCGGAGGGTGGGGGCTCAGCCTCGACGGCCCGGGACGCGGGGTCCTGGAGCAGCGCCCCGCCCCCGGCCCCGCCCGCCCGCCCTCCGGGGCCGCTCTTAAACCCGCGCAGCCCTGGCCGCCGCTTCGCTCGTCCGCTCCGTGCGCTCTGGCTGCGCGTTAGTCCGTGCCGTCCTCTCCGCCCGCTTCCGCGTCCGCATCCGCGCAGCCCGCTCGCCGCTGCCGCCGCCCCGGGCCCGGGTCCGGCCCAGCGCTCTCCGGGGTCTCCGCGTCTCGCGAGAAGTCGCCGCCGCAGGCCTTGGGCTCCCGGGCGCAGGGGCGAATGGGGGGCGGCGGAGCGAGGCCCGGCCGGCTGCTGCTGGTGCTCGCCCTGCTCTCCTGGGTGGCAGGCCTGGGCGTGGCGGAGGAGACGCCCTCGCGCATCCCTGCAGGTGAGCTCCGCACGCCGGATTCCGCGGGCGGGTCTGGCGGGCACTGGGCATCTTTTCTTTCCGCTCCGGGACCTAACCGCGGGGGCTCCATGCTTTCGGATGGACGGTGACTGTCTTTGCAGCGCCCCGGGAAGCCCCCGCCATCCTGCCTCTGCCCCTAAACCGCGCTCGGGACCAGGCTGCGGGCGGACCCACTGCGCGCCCACCCACTCCTCCTGGTCCACTCTGGGACGCAGAGTCAGGCGTCCCCGAGCTCTGGCCCTGGCCGGTGTTCGGAAGCTGAGCTAAAACTAGTAGTTGGAGGCAAGATCGTGTGAACAGAACTTTCTGGGTTCAGCCAGAGGAGAGCCCCGCCGCCTATTTGTCTAAACAGGACTTTGCTGCGCTTTATCGCGCAGGGGAGTTCTTTCAGCGGTTTCCACTTTGGGGCCCTGGGCTCAACTCCCTGGAACTGAGCCTTGGGTTTAAATGACCTGATGTACCGTTAGTGGGTGGATGCGATAACTTTGCTTTCTTCAGTAACTAGTTGGATCCTTTTCTGCTGCAACCTAAGCCTACGAGCGAGCAAGCATTTCTAATCTCGGGATTCCAATTTCAGAGGGTGACATTTGGCACAAGTTCAGTTGGTCTGTGTAACCATCGTTTTGTCTTCCTCTTCGGGCAATTCATGAAACTTAAGCGCTTAACAGCTTCTGGTTCTGTGGAACACTGCTTGCTTTGTTGGTTGCAGAAATGTGTGCCTTTATTCTATCAGTCACAGGGAAATCTGAACCCGCATGATTATTCTGAATTTGAGCTAAATTTAATCACACATCAAAAGCATTTCTTTTAGCATAACACTCGAGAACCACACAGATAAATGCAAATAGAGACATAAAGTGTAAAAACTTACCTTGAAAATTTTCTTTGTTAAAACACCCAAATAAGCTTTTATTGATAAATAAAAGTAACCTCGAGGACTTGCTAATTTCAGAGTTTGGCTCCAGAATTCTTTGTGTTTTATTCCACTTGGATGCCACCTCTCACTTTTTACAGAGGATATCCGTGCCAGGCTGCTACCTTTAAATTTGTCGTCAAAAACCACCTCCTTCCCTGTGCAAACTTTTAAGTTTCCTGGAATCAGATGTTAAGTGTTTTATGGGTTGTCACATCAGAGGAAGGGAATTTCAGATACGAATGTTTTCCGTATAAAATCCAGGGTTGACTTCTGAGACTTGGTGTCTGTGGTAGGTGGGCACAGAGTTCCGTTATGAGCTAAAGGTTGGGAATGTTAGTGTGTACTAATGGAGCCAGCAGGGCAGTAACCAATCTGGTTACATACAAAGGTAGATGGTCTTACATGTTCTGTGATAAGCTAATAAATGAAGAAGATACATTGTTTGGTAATTTTGTCAGATTTATCAGCTGTGGTTAATTTTTATCCCTGAGGTGGTACACCTGAAAATTACTACATAAATATGGAAATAATCTTTAAGGTGTAAGTTGTCTAGATTAGTAGGCCTTCAGGAAGAGTACCAATCACCTCTGACCCCATTATTTGTCAGTGTGTCCCAGCTAGTCCGTAAAAAGTGTATTCAGAGCTGGGGAGATGGCTGGGTTGGCAAAGTACTTGTCCTGAAAGTGTGAGGATCTGAGTTTGGATCCCCAGGTCCACTTTACGGTTGGGGTGGTGGCCTGTGCTTGTAATCTCATTGACGGTGAGATCATAGGCAGATCCGTGGAGCTGACAGGCTGGCCAGCTAGTGTAGCATGCCTGGTGAAGATACATGCTAATGAGAGACCCTGTGTGAAACAGGTGGCTGGTACCTGAGGAGTGACTCCCGAGATTGTCTTCATACCTTCACAAGGCACACCCTCCCACACAGAAGGAATGGATTCTCTCAGCATTTCTTGGCTCTATCAATAGTTTGGGCCGTACCCCTTTGCTCCTGGTGGCTGTCCTATGCATTACAATATTACCTGTGTCCTTGACCTCTACCCACTAGTTGCCCTTAGCACTCAGCTCTGGATGTGAGAACAAAAGAAATCTTCAAAACAGCAAAAGGTCAGTCTCCTGAAAGGCAAATGGTCCACACTGGAGAATCTGGGCAAGATAATTAGGTGTCCCAGAGGCAGCATGGCTTAATGGTATCGGGAGAATAGTTGCTCCTCCTCTGCCCTTTCATTTATTTTTGAGAGTTTTTCTGGAACTCCTGGGCTCCTGTGATCCTCTCACATCAGCCTCCTGAGTAGCTGGGATTACAGGCTTCACCCCTTGCCTGGCAGGATTTTTTTTTTTTTGGAAAGCAATTTTTTCTAAGAATTTTCCACTGTTAAAGCGAATGTACTTTTGGAATAGGTTTCCTGCTTTGGGATGTGTGCTCAACAGTTGGGAATGTCCTACTTGTTACAGCAACTGAAAGGTCTGCTGCCCCGAGTGCCTTTTGGCTGCCCCTGTATTCCAGAACAAGAGAGAATGTAGACACTATCTCAATGAAAAGCATCATTTGTACTCATTTGTCCTTGAAACATTTGTCAGAATTCTCTTTCATGGAGCTTTCCCAGGCGGAGCTCTTCAGTCCAGTTCATGTGTCGATGCTTCTTTCTGTACTCCATGCCTTCTAGATGAGAGGAGAGGAGTGAGTTCCTGCCAAGCCTTTGCAGTCTGGGTGCTAGACCTGGATCCAGACTGGTGTGTCGCTTTAGAGGCACCTTGACTGTTTCATGAACTAAATTGGGCAAAGACCAAGTTTGAAGCAAAATCGAAGGAAATGGTTTCAGACATTTCTGTTAAGACTAGTATTTTTCAATGATGTCCATTTATAAGCTCTTTAACTTGCTATGTTGAGTTCGAGGAAGACAGAAAAGGCTTGTTCCGATCTGCTGATGCAAACCAGCAATTTACAGGGTGGAGAGGGGAAAGCGAGTCCCTGGAGAGGCTGTGGGGAGGGAAGGAGGGAAACTCCTCTGTACTTTCAGTCTGTCTGTCTGTCTGTCTGTCTTCTCTGTAGTTCTCCAAGGCAGTCTAGAACATAGGATATTCCTCTCCTGGCTGTCTTTCATTTTTGTTTTTCTTCTTTTATAACTTTTTAATATGGTTGGTTTATGTAGCTCAAACCTGTTTTGCTTTGTGTTTATGATTTAATGACTTATAGATTACATTCTTCAGAATGTAGGCCTGGCCCCTTTGACCACAAAGAGATTCACCGTTTATTTTGTTAAGCTGAAGGTCTCCTTTAAGAATTATGAAAAGTAGTATGCAGCCAGTGAGGTTAGTAGCTTTTTTTTCCAGGCCGTCACCTAACTTGGCCGATCGTTTTTTTCTCCCTCAGGTACCCTTGCTACCAAGACTGAGCACTGTAACTGTGTCCTGTCAGCCAGGACCTTGTTTCCAAGTCACTGTTGATGGGTCTTCTCCACAGCTCATGTTTTCTCCCGATTTCTCTTATAAAAGGTGGTGCAGACGGTGTTCCTCTCGGGTGCTTGTGTGCCACAGTCCGTTATAGGGCGAGAATTGAGATTGGAGATGGTCCACACCTCCCACAAGGCCACTGGGGAGCAATAAGAGAGCGTGTACCCTTTCTCCGGGCTGTTTCTGTTTCTCCGTGCCCTTCCTGCCTTCATTATCGCTCTGCTGGGTACGGGGAAAGAAAATAGCAGCTGGGCTTCAGTGGCTTAGAGAGAGGGATGTTTAACAGGAAAAGCATGCTGTTCGTAGGTTATGTACATACTGGTATATGTGCAAGACTATCCCCTCAGCCAAGGGATAGACTACCAACCATAGGCCGGATCTGTAAGGTGAAACCTGGCTATGTGTTTTTGTACGACCTTCCAGCAAACAGACTTCACACTTTCGGATGGATGGGAAAGATCAGAAGAAAAGTAGTATATCATGGCATGTGAAAACTTTATGAGCTAGAGGCTGTATTGGCTGCAGTCACATTCGTGTGCTGGCATGTTGTCTGTGGTGGTATTCGTGTTCCCAGGCCGAGCTGAGTAGTTCCACCCAGGTGGAACTGAGGACGCAGACTAAAATGTTCACCGTCTTGCCCTGTGCAGCTCCTGGCCGAAGGAGATGACATTCTCATTGAAGCTGTAACACATGTCGATTGCTCCTCTCTTGGAAAGAGCCACATTTGGGACAGTAGCAGCTGGCTCTGGGCATGGCAGAGGCCTGGTTTTCATTTTAGAGGTTGCCAGTGATTTCTGCCGTTTTTGAAATACAACACTTGAATCTTAACTAGATATATACTTTGGTGTAAATACTGTTTATGTAGTCAAAGACCAAACAACTTTACTTTGGCCAGATGGGAAGGAGATGCATTTTTCTTTTCTTTAGGGTTATTTATATTCTAGAAATTTGTTCAAGGACCCTGGTGATTCACTTTGGCTTAGTTCTTTGAGTGAAATAATTAGTACATTTGTTGTTCAGAATTTTTAGTCTCCTGTAACTGTAACAGTAAATCAGGCTAACGGAGAAGGTGGTATATTTTCAAGTGACTTGAACTGTTTTGTGTGTGTATTTTATTTTATTTTTTTCTCTGTGAACACACTATACAGGAGTGATTTCCAAAGCTATTGAGATTGTAGTTAGCCCCGAATAGTTACTCGGAGTAGTAGAATGTGGACAGTGTCACTGTACTGAAAGCTCGGTTTGTTAGGCAATTGCTGACATTGCTGACATTCCCCCGAGCTGTTAAATTAGTACCCTGCTAAGGGGCTCACAAAGAGACTTTTTATACTTGCAACACTTCATAATTTCAAAATGTAACTTCAGATGAGTTACCGTTTATGTAAAAAAGGTGGTTTAAACTTAAAAGACAGTAACTTCATGTAAGTTTTACTATTTTTCATTCAGGATAACTTCACTTGGACTGGAGATATGTTATTTTCATGCAGACAAGTAGATTTCCTTTCTATAACATTATGAATATCCTTATTTTAAAAATTCATTCAAGCCAGAGCAATTATGGATTTATCTGTGTGACTCATGAGTTGCAACAATGTCCTCAAAATAGCAA